TGCTGTTTCCAGACGGTGAAAACTGATATTTGACCTCATTTCTGCTTTAAATCTGCGGGGTGTGTCACCAGACACAGATGCTACGCACTTAAGTCAAAGAATTATGGCCTGAGAGGGAAATTAGCTAAACCGGAGGGGGTGGAGGGGAGTTTGAGGACGCTTTGCAGAAAAATGGCCACAGATTTATTATTAAGGAGTTATGGTAGGTTTTTGGAACCAATTCTAGGAATTACAGAGTATTCTGATGGAGGATTTGAACCAACACACCAATATTTAACACAAAAGTCGCTCCTTGTTCATTTGTACATTCGGATCTATATTTTTAAAGATTGTATTTTTCAGTTTTATCATTTCTTTCTCCTATATTTTAATTCTACATTTTATTTCTTGCTTCTCATAGAAGTGTTGTGTTGTGCACCAAACACCAAAAAGGCAAATTCCTTGTAAGTCTAAAAACCTACTTGGCTATAAACCTGATTCTGATTCTGATTCTGAAACCAGTTACACTCCTATCCAAAGGTTCAGCTGTATTTCATTTTGATATTTTTATAATCATATTATTATATTTTAATAAGTTCACTTGTAATTTACCTTTATTGTAAATAACCTTTATTTATTTATGCCTCCACTGTTCTTTTTCACTTTTTTCTGCTGTAACGTGTACATTTCCCCACTGTGGGATCAATAAAGTGTTCTATTCTGTTCTACGTTCAGAGGTTTTTAGGTTTTTTGGAACCAATTCTAGGAATGACAGAGTATTCTGATTAAATATCTGACCCAACAAACCAATATTTAACACAGAAGTCACTCCTGGAACCAGTTAGACTCTGGTTCTGCTGCATTTATCTGTATTTTTTAATCTGTTTTCTGGTCCATCACTCCAGACTTTTTGGGGTTTGAGCCCTTTAGATGCTGGTTTAGCTCCTGGGGGGCTGTTTTTTATTTTATTTGACATATTTTATTTTTTTGACATTTATTTAGGGGAAATGTAACAGGATTCTTTCTTTTCTAATTCATATTTCAAATGATTATTTTCAAAGTATTCAAAATATTTTATTAATTGAATAATTAAAAGGTTCCCAAACTCCCAAAGACAGTTGTCACGCCCCCCCATAGGCAATGACAAAAATGGGAGACAGACGAGCGGATC